CAGCCCACTAGCTGAAAGAAGGTGATGACTTCCAAGACAGACAGGAAAAGACAGGCAGAAATAGTGCACAGCAGGAGCAGACTCAGTGATGATGGGTGGAAACAGGTGACAGCCTGCACTCTCACTTCAGGACAGATATAGCACAACAGGGGATTTGAAAGGAAGTAGTTGTAAATGTAAATTGGAAAGACAGGACTAGAGCGTGATTCACAGCATACGGTCAGATCCCTGCTTTTCTGGTTGGCTCTTCCTCTTGGTTCATTCCCACTTTTCCTATTTTAAGTCTTCATTCAGAGGCCTTACCTTTTTTCAGGGTTTATGTTGGAAAATGCTGCAAGCAGCTCATGGAAGTGCCAAATGGCAAAAGCCTAGCAAGAAACAGAAGTGCCATGTTTTCATGCCACATAAGTGTCTAGCCAGGTGTTAGATAGTTATCTGGCTCCCCCGACCCCTCTTAAAAAAGGTGTCATTTGCAGGGTCACAGGGTACTGGGATCATGGAGCCAAAGCCAATGCTGACTCATCACGACCTCCAAACAACTAGCAGAGGTCACCTGGCACACTAACTGCTCTTGAAAGCTGTTCCATCCATGCGAAATCCCAAGGGACGGAAAGGCGTGCAGACACTGATGATATCCCTTGTCGATGTGGTCTCACGTCCTGTGGAAGGGGGTTCCCAGGAGCTTAGCACCTGCACTCACACTAGCCTTCTGTTTCATTTAAATTCTCCATGTGATCCTTTCAGAATAACAGGATATAAGAAGGGGAGAGAACTTTCTCTCTCAGTACTAACAGGGCACTCAGACCTGTCATAGCCAAAGACAGACTAGACATACTTTTTTAATTTGTCTTTTGTATAGGTAGTAATGAAGTGTGGAAAATATGTATTGAGCTTTTCTATGTACATGACAAAGAGGAATTATCTTTTTTGTCATTAAAACCTAGCTTGTTCTGTTTGCTAAACAAAGACTGCAACACAAAACTAGAAGTAACAAAAATGTAAAATATTATTTTAAAAAAATTAAAATCAACAAATAACTTATTAGAAGAACTGTATTTTTGATGCATATTAACTTTTCAAAAAGACACATCAGTAATTTATTGAATACTTGATTCACCGTGCTCTAAACATTCAAATGACAAAAGAGACAAAATAATTATAAAAAAAATCTCAGAAGAGTGACAGAAAAGATAGAAAAATAATTTAAAAAAAAAAAGATTCTTCTCAGCAAATGCTTCTTGGAAGCTTTGCACTTTACCATCAAGTAATAAAACAAGCACTAGAAATATGCAAATGCATGGACACAATATCAGAGGAAGATGCACAGGAATTTATTCAGAGAGTTTCAGAACACAGGAATGGGGACGAGAAGAGGAAGTAATAAAAAGGTAGAACAGTTTCATGTGATAGATACTTTTGTTTCATATCTCATATGGTTAAAAGCATGATGCTTGCTTACCTTTCACAGCGTGGTCCCACGTACCCAGCTGGGCATTCATCACATATTAATCCACGACTTCGGTCAAAATGGCATGTTGGGCTAAAGCTGTGGTGTTGATATTGGGTAAGAAGAGGGACAAGGAAGAAACATAAAGAAAAGATTTTTAGCAGCATAGCTCTCTTCCCACTTCAGAGATCATTAATTTGCAAAACAGTGCCCAGGAAAAGCGATTCTGGTCTAGGACTTGGGGATTAAGTTTGACCAGCAAATTGAATTTGGAATGACTCTGCTATTTCTGCGACACTGAATATAGAGTAACGGATGGCAGCATCCCAATAGCCTGTTATTACGGGACTTGAGCCTGCCACCGAGTGGTCTGGATACCATTAAAAAGGCAGGAATGTACAGCTGTTTGTTTGTGCCCCCGAGGGCCTGGCGAAACAATCTAAGCCATGATATGGCCCCTATATAAATCTTTCTGAAGGACAACTGATTTGAAAGCTCAGTTAACTTTGCGTATAACCGGCTGTGAAAGGAACCCAGTGAACAAGAAAGGGGAGGGGCAAAAAGGGAAATATCTGGTGCAGCTTCCCAGAGAGTGCATGCGACTAAATCGAGTGCCAACGACCTCAAGCAACAGGCCAGGCAGGCACACTGAAGTTCAAGAATAGCTTGCAGAGTAGAAAGCTTCACCTCTTTTCTATGTTCTACTTATTTTTAGCTGTTTTTTTTTCCTTTTAATAAATAAGGATAGTGTAGGCATTTGCAAGCTCCACCTCTCGATGTCCATGTTTAACTCTGAACCGTGCTCCTTCACTGTTTAGCATTTTGCTTTCCATAATCTTTCTCCCTTAACACACTTTTGTGAGGAAACCTCTAAAAGACACAGCACAGAGGAAGAGGCAACCTGTTGTTCTATCATTCTGGAATGTTTATTAAAGACAGAGATATACGAGCACCTTTATAGGGCCTCATCCAAATAATAGTAATCAATTCTGGTCAACCAAATAGAAAAATAGAAATAGGAAAAAAAAAAATAGAAGAATGTGCAGGTGCATAGTGGGCTGACTATTCACAACAGGAAAACAAAGCATCTATCTGAAAAGACGTCATTAAACTTATATTTTGTAACTTAGGAAAACAGACATTGAGAAGGAATTGCTCTAACAAAGACATCAGAAGAAAGGTATGTTCAAGGTAAAAGTTCATGCTACAATAATAACAAATAGACATAATCCAACCTTGGATAAATTAAAGCAGGATATACGATGAAAGTTTCTGGAAATTAATAGGCACAGGGAAGATAGAAAAGCTTAATTAGGATCATGTAATGTGATTACCTGCTCATGACTGGACTCCACTTCTCAGGAGTCATCCATCCTATGATCTGACCTCAGTTACTCTTTGTTCTGTTTCTGTTATAAATTATTTCCATTTATAAATACCCTATCTGTCACAGGGCAAGTTATCCCACAGATGTAAGAGATCAGTAAGAAAAATGTTGGAAGGTGAGGTCCAGTAAACACAGACAGGTATTGGGATTTTCCTTTCCCATAAGGATTATGTTTGTGTTATTTTGCAATGTCATTCAATTAAGACTAGATTCATGAATGCATGAAGAGCCAGTTGAAGAAACAGTAATTGTTCATTCGATTTTTAAATAGCAATGAAAGCAATTTTCAGCTGAGGAACACATTATCATTGAATCTAATCAGCAGCACCTGACTTATTTCAAATAAGATCCTGCTTGTCAGTCCCAACCTCACTCTTTCTAAGAGCTACATGGGAAACTTTGTGGAGATGCTATCACAGCTCATTAGAGCACTGCACAAGATTGACTGTACTACAGTTCCATCAAGAGCTCTGAATTCAACTGCATAAATTTTAAAGATAATAATAATTAAGTATTTATTACTACTAAGCCATAATAATTAATAGCAGAATTTCCATGTTTTAAAGGTTATGCTCAGACCTAGCATCTTTGATTCTTTCTGTGACTTAACAGTCAGTCCACAGCTTAACACTAAACATTAATATATTGAGAAATTCCCATCTGCATACTATAAAGGAAATATGTGATAGCAGGGTGAGAAAAGAAGAGTTTATCTTCCTGATTATTTAGAATCTCATTCCTCACTAGAGATAAATGCTAATGAACAGTGTGTATTGATCTGTCAAGACAAGCTTCAAAAAATCTTAGTCCCTCTTGATTCCTCTTCACCCATTTCAGTTTTTACATAAGGTAACAACATTAATACCAGTCAGGACATGGGACAAGTATGAATACACAGTATGGGTATATATGTGATAGGTCTGTGTTGGGAGACAGAGCTTCCTAAAGGCTTACAGGCATGTTATAGAAAACATCTCTTGGAAATAAGTTTGTGGTTTTATTTAATTCTCCAAGAAAATATTACAATTCTGAGACCAAGCCGAATTCCTAGTTCACATGCTATGAGTTTACTTGTGACCTTCCCAGGCTGAGTGAGATATCTTCTATCTCCCATTTCCAGTGATAAAACATTCCTGTCAGGGTCTTCACTACCCATATTAAATTTATTGCCACTTCAATAGAAAAGCAGCAATTTATCCCAGATATCTAGATTTGGTAGAAAGAATTATATAGTAGTAAGTCTGATAATTTCAATGAAAAAAATACCCCAACAGTTTATTTGAAACTCCTTAAAGACTAAGAATGTTAGAACAGTTTGTAAGAGTGACGCTTTAATGGGAAGAGATAAGATGAAGAAGTCAAGTGTGCATTACATATGCCATTTATAATATGGGTATTCATCTCATTTGCATCATATAAGTACAAATATGGAGATATATGCAAAAAGATGAAAATATAGCCCAGGATCTAGAAAACAAGCTTAGACAACTTAATTTTAGTTTCCTGATTTGGCCAAGCATTCTCTTCTGACATATGGCAAGTCACTTATCACTGTTGTGCTTCAGAAGGCAGTTTTATGATTGGCTTCAGTGACTGCATATGGAAACTACTGCCATTAGGAAAGAGGAGAGGGAATAAGCAGCAGTTAAATCAGCTTAAGTTAACTATAGAACACCACCATCACCACCACATTTCTAAAATGGCTAGAACAGTTCTTCTCCACCTTATGTGGCATTGCAGAGAAAAAGACTCAGATGCTGTGAAAACAGTGATGGGAACCATTATAAACATCATAAAGCAATAAGACACTGCTATAAAAGACAAATCTGATTTCTTAATGGGAATATATCTCAGAGGTTCATTACATGAACAATATTCTCTATGTGCCAGGAACTTAGTATTAAGCTTAGAGACCTACAGATGCCCTGTCATGCCATGTTAGGAATTAAATACTACAGGTATTAATATCTATAGACAGCTACTTATAATCATTTGTACATAAATTAGCCACTTGTTAGGTTATTCAGAAATAACATGACATATACTACATCTGCACAGTGACATAAGCTTGGAAGAAATGTCTTTATTTTTCGTGTGAAGGAATCTGAATTGTTTACATATATTATCCCTAGGATACCAAACTCACTGCCAACTAAGAAAGAAAACAAAATGAGTATTGTAACAGCCTTCAGGTAATGTATTAAATCTTTACCAACCTCTTTTTTTCCTCATAAACAAATTTAATAATTGGTCTAGAACTGTAAGGTCATGAGAGCTTGAACCTTACAATGCGTTCTACAAAGCTTGAGGATGCTGTTCACAGTTTTGCTTTGACAAAGCATTAGAAACAGGAAGCTATTGCACAGTTCTAATGCAGGGCTAAACTTTGTAGGGTTCAGGTTTCCCACTGTTTCACAGTTTAAGAACATTTATATTCTGTGTTTGTTTCACACCTATATTTTGCAAGAAAACTAAATATGAAAAAGGGGACTCTCTTGTTCAATTTCAAAAAAGGAAAGTAAAGTAGCCAGAACTCTGATGAATACGTAATAGAGGAATAGAGGTCTCCAGGCATTTTGCCAATAAAAACCTAAATTCAATCTATTTGATTTGGTTTGTTGCACATCTGCACAAGATATAAATGTGATAGTGTTCTTCCTGCTTTGTCAGTACAGTGTTCTCAAACAAGAGAAAGAGAATTAATTAACTATGCAAGGAAATACTAAGTATGTGAAAGCAACGAGGACATCAGGGAAACCATGCCTGACCAGCAGACATAATAAACCCATGTATACCTAATAAAACCAACTGAAGAGCTGTGATAACAGGAAGGCAGGCTCCCGTTCTACAATCCCCTGGAATTTCTGCTGATAAGTGCTTAAATTATTCCTGCCCTGATCAGTGCAATTTTAATAGGACACAATGCCACTGTACGCAACAGCATTAGCCTGAACTACTTAAGAGCAAAATCTGGTTCATCTGTGCCTTATGTTGGTACACTGCCATTCAGATGATGTTCTCTTCTTTACTTGCATCTTGAAGAGCTCCCTCTCTGTGCGGGTGGTAGCCATGCATTTTGCCCTCTAACCTTAAGAAGCACTCTTTATACTCTTAAACAGTAAAGTGCATTTCATTCACAGAATCTGACTTCTGTTCTGGGAAAAATGGGGTGAAGTAGAAGATGCAGGGCTGAAGGGAGAAAACTCCAGTGGATTTATCAACTCTTATCACCACTTAAAACTTTTAAGCTGTGTAAAAAGCTTGGGATGGGGCAGCCTCTGTGCACAGTTTACAATCTTCCAGTACAATCCTACAATCCTTCTGAAATGCTTATACGGGCTAACAGTGATTCTTTTCAGAAGGGAGACACGTCCAATTTGTGTCTGGAATTTGAGCAAGCATTAGTTACCACTGCAAACATGTCAGACACATACTCAATGGTTCCTGATCTTCCTGAACAATTACTGTATGTGTTGCACCACACCAGCTCTCCTGTGTCATCTGGACATGTGCTACTTGCACGAGGGCTCCTTTTCTCTGAAGCCATACTGGATGGCTTAAACCAAATGTGCTAATTCAAACTGATACACACAGTTTCCTTTTTTTTTTTTTTCTATGCACAAGAAGAGCTAACCAGACAAGATTCAGAACAGTTTTCTTGAACTACATCATATCAAATGATGTTGGTATTGTTATTTTCCAGGTACTGACTGGGACACAACCAATTAAAAAAATGTTCAAGCCACTTGGTCTATTAAACTGTAGGTAGCAAGTAGCACAGAAAAGCTTTTGTAATGAGGGAAACATATGTTCTTAGATCAGAGTTTTGATTAACTTTTCACTATTATTTTTATTTAATAAAACAATTTTATAAGGATTATTCTGAGATATGCTGACAAAATATTTTCACTTGCAAGATCTAAGGCTGAATTCAGACTCCAAACAAGTCAATATTATCACTGAACGTTGACTGGAAGAAAAGGAAAATTAAAGGCAGAAGAAATCACTGGTTTATCTAATGAACATAAATTGACTTTAAATTCAATTATTAAAAAAACCCCACATGTCAATTTGGTAAATTCAGCTTTAAAACTAGAAACATCTACTCTTAAGGAGGACAGAAAAGCAAACACTAGTTATTGATTCAAAGAGTAGTCATCCAAATTCTGTGTTGTTCTTTCTAGCCTAGTCCCATCCAGCTTTTGTCTTTATCTTTGCCTCTCAGCAAAGCTAAGCATTCTCTACAATTGTAAAAAGAGAATAGAAGTTTATATTGCAGAATATATTGATTAAAACACAAAGAATCTCAAGTGTACATACAAAAGTATAAATTAAAAAGTTATGCAATTTACTAAGTGAAAAAGTGTAATATGCAATAAATATACATCTTACTTGTTAGAAGGTATATTGAGGGGACAAGCACACAGCTGACAGTCTTCAGCTGTCCCTTTAGTAGGATCACCATAGAAGCCAGGAAGACATCTATCACAATATGAACCACCTGTGTTGTGTTTGCAGTCCTAAACAGAAGATAAACAGTATAAATTCACAATTAGAAAACTTGCGTATGGAAAGTCCTTGAAGGTCATTCACCTAGCTCATCCTCTCAACAGGACTGTAAGAGGTTTTCAACATATGTTCTAATTTTCTGCTGCTGGTTGAGAACTAGTTCTAGAGGTTAGCTGTCGCAATAAGTGCTTCACAAGTGTCAGGCATTTGTGTTCTTTTGGATACCTTTTCTTTATGCAAAACAAAAAGAATATTTAACTGCAGACCTTTATCTTTCTACCATACAACAGCTGCATTACTGTTTCAGCTTGCTTAAAGAAAACCAACCTTCAGAGCAGCACAAAACACGTTTAGTATTGCAGTGTTGCAACAGGCCATACCTTGTGACAAACAGTTTTCAGATGCTGATTCCAGAAACACAGCCCGGACTATATAATTTATAAAAATGAATTGTTACATTTCACATCTAAGTGCATTAGCTCATTTTACAAGGTATATGGCTAGCAGGATACTAAAAATATTTGTGAACAGTAGCAAAGCCTGAATTACTTACTTAATACTTGTTTGCTAGAATAGCATCCAGGTTCTATTTTATAAATAGAAACAAGGATGACTATACTGCATACTGGGCCTTATCCAACAGTTTGTGTTCGTGTATGTGACTGGCTTTCATAATACAAGAGACAGTTTATCTGAGCATATGAAACATCAACGTACTACATAAAAATGGCAGCACTAGATCTGCACTTTTGTATATAAGCTTTGGCCTGATCTCAGATTAAATGATCTTTCAGCAGAATGGGAATTGGTCCTCTAAGAATAGGCTTCCTATGATGATTGTAAGTATCAAGATTTAAAAAGTAATTACCTCTTTTGCTCTTCTTTCCCGTCACCATATAGAATTTAAAAATTCTAAATAATTTGGCAGAATCCATGACAGGCTCAGCAAATTACTTTTCTGGCTTAGACTCTTTCCTTTTTTTTTTGCACATTTTTACCACACCACACTATTCCTTTTACTGCTATTTGCTACAAGACACCCAAGCATAGCCCTTTTACAGTGTGAAAACAGAGAAAGCAGAAGAAATGGTTTTGGCTCTTAAATGCCATCTTGATGTGCTTGGGTATAGGCTGAAAAAGCATGTGGCAACTTGAAAAGGTCAAAATGAAAGCCATGAGAGAGATTTTATTTAATGGGCTGTATTCTGATCTGATTTAGGCAATGGGTCAGATCAAATCTAGAATCTGTTTCACCCAAGCTGCTGCTTAAGAACTCTTGAGGGTTTTTCTTTTAAAGGCATAGGTATTTCCAAACTTATGATTTAATTTAAAATATTTTTAAGAACACTTTAAAGCTGTTTTCTCATTTGCAATAAGTCATGCATATGGCACTGACTGATAACACCATTACTGCCTGAAAGACATAATGTATCCTCAATAAAGAATAAAGAAAATGGCACTATTCTAAGGAACACCGATTTCTTCTTCATGACTTCCCAGGATTGCAATGCTTTGTAGAAAGTTTTTTGCATTGTGCTCTGCATAGCCAGTACCATACATTTGGGCAGATGAAAAAGCACAACACCCGTTTCAGTCATGAGCACGCCGGAGTCAAAAGCATCTGTCTCCAGAAATGCTGTTTTAAAGGGTGCATTCTTATTGTTTGTATATACAATCAGCATATCTTTGAAATGAAAGCATTAGTCACAATATTACATTTTCACATATTTGGTAGATTGTGAGCTAATACCAATTATTGAGACTTTTAGTCCAACAAAATGATGGCTTTAGAACCATCAGCTGGGTTAAATTCTATTTCATTAGGTCATTTAAGCCCATTTGATAATTATTTCATATGCTGTCATTCAAAAAGAATCTACTGGCCATAATGAAAAAGTATCTGGGAACATTAAGATATGCTTTTAAAAGAAGATGTGACAAAAATAATTTAAGTGTTTCAAAAGAAAAATCCTTTGCAATTCAACTTTTTTAAGGCATCATGTCAAATTATTTGTACTTTTTCTGAAAAATAATGGATTCTTCTTTTGTGTTAAATTTAGCTTTAAATATCCTTAGACATATCTTAATGTTTTTGAAGAATATGAATGGCTTATATGTCAAGGATGTTATTAAAGTGAGAGGAGCTAACACACTATTTTAAAGCTATGCATCTCTTACAGAGTGGTATTTGCGGCTTCTGCTTTTTTTAAGTAAAAAACCTGAAACCTTCCATTTTGTAGGAAAACAATTCATGTTACAAAAAGCTGACCTTCTTCTCTTCCATGAATGATTTTCTGAAACTCTAATGTCAGTCATTTCCAAGCACTGTGTCTAATTCTTCTCAATCCAGATCTCTCCATCTGCTTACTTCCTCACCATGAATCAGTAAATTTAAAAACAAGAAAGAAAAGAACCCCACACATACACTACCAAGATCTAAGCATATGTTGCACTGTGTATATGTTAGAGTTTAGGTGAGAAATAACAATCTTCTGTGGTCCTATACTTTTGTCCCTGAGCCAGTCTGGATTTTGCAGGACAAAGAACAAGCATTATGTAGTATGCAGATGTGACATAATTTGCCTGTTCTCTTCAGTGATGCATTAACTTTATACTAATTTGCCTAATTTATAGATCACTTTAAGTACTGAAGTAGATGAGTTATTAGCCCTTCTAAAGATATTATCAATACTCATGAAAAAATTGTGGTTTCTTGATATAAATCGGTTGAACCTCAGTTTGAAACTTGTCAAATGTATAGCAATGGTATTGAGCATCATCTAGTTTGAGCAATGTCTAATTATAATGAGATTATTTCCTTAAAACATGCTTAAACCTGTGAAGTCTTAATTTCATGTTCATAGGAACATTTATAATTTTTTTTTTTTTTTGTGATGAGATTGGGTATAAAGAAGATCATGATCAACTGTCCCTAACCTGCTCAGTACATTATATATGCTTTCTTTTTATTCCCTTGGAAATATAGTTTGTTCCAACACATTGATCTAGTGGTTCTGGTAAAATCAATGCCTTGTTCCACAGATCCATAGTCTTTGTAACCAGGAACGATTTATGCCCAAATCTTTATGCTTTCAAATTCCAGGTACTGGATCTCAAAACTATTTTGAATGCATCGATTTTCTGGACCTCTTTTATCTCCAAACACCATGAAACTTCACTTAGACAACCTGTGAGTAAGCAAGACTGTGAATTTTATTTTTGTCCAAAATTTTATGTATGACTCAGACCTTGTTGCCCAAAGACTTTATTGTTGATGTCCTGGAGTGTGTTTTCCACCATTTCCTACCGAGCCGGCTCTCCCCCGCTCGGCAGAAACCAAATGAACACCTTTATGACCAGGATCAGGGAACGCTAAATTCACACCATTCCTGCCTAGCTGCTTATGCAGCTGAGTGTATACGAATATGGAAAGAAATAGTCTGAGTAGAAGGCTAGTGATGAAAATAAAACTTTAATCAGGGAGTATGACAGAGTTCAAAGTGCCTTTGGCATGCTGCTGCCCTTCCTCAGGATATCTGTCACAGAGACAACCAGGGAAGCTGCTAGTTTAAGCTAGTTAAAGAAAGCACCAGGGTAAGCCTGGGTGCCTATTTTAGTGTATTCCCCAGCCATCTAGACCGGACAATGGCATTACGTCTTTGGAAGCATGAATATGCTCTTCTGGCATTTTCAAACTATTGTAATGTCAAGATTACATGGACAATTCCTCTTCCTGGTGGGGAACACATGCAATCAGGATGTTGCAGAGGCTTTACGTAATTTTCACCAGTGATACAGCCTATACTGCATTTAGCTTAGGATGTGTCATTTTGTTACTGTGCATATGAAGATGGGTGAAGACATTTTGTTGCTCCTGTCTAAAGCACTTGTCCACTATCTCTGACACTGGCCTCAATCTACATGGTATATGCTGTTTACACACAAAAGAATAAAACACAAAATGGATGCCGTTGGGGACTGCCCACTTAGCAATTTGAGCACATCTTATGGGATAAAGATCTGCTTTCTCTGGGCTTACTAATAGGAACATAATATCCTGCAATGAATGAAACACCTTGAAATGTGTTTGCTTTTCACAAGGTTTAGGTTTAACCAACCTCCTAAAGCTACTGTGAATGTGTGTGTAACACTACAAAAGAGTATATCTGAATGTTAGAACTTGCCCTATGTACCAAAGCAGTTATGTATATCACGATGGTAACGAGAAAGATGTATCATGCCGCTCTCTATATGGTTGCTGTGGGGATCAAAGGGCTTTGCAGGTTACTGCAAGATAGGCGTTAAAATGAGCTTTTTATACAGGCCTATGTCGAAGCAGATGATTTGAGCTTTTATCATGAGTCAAAAACATATTTCAGCTGCTTTTCAACTACATTTCAAAGCTAAGGAAGACCAAAAAGAAGTATCATATCAGTAAATTAGGTGCCTAAATTGTCTGTTGTATTACTGAAAAAACACCATGAATAATAATAAGGAGGCCAAAAGGCTGTGTAAACCTCAATAGAAAGAATGCCTTTGATGTGAAACATTTCTCTTTTTCAGCATTCAGACTTCTCTCTTTCACTTCAAAAGGCTTATGATCCAAACTGAATAGCAGCATTTAATAGCCTGCATGAATACTAACCAATCTACCTTCACTTACAGTGTTTTCAAAGTAAGCTGCAAGAAAATCCAGAACTGATTTTAAGCTCCCTGTGTGCCTCTTCTTCATAGCATGATCTAGTATAAGCTCAGACAGAACACATAAAATACAGAATGCTTGGCAACGCATGTAGATTAAAGTACATTTTCAACTGGGTATTTTCCACTTCCTTGTCAGTGCTGTTATCTTTACACCAGCACCCTTGAAATATCAGAAGGGGGAGCTCTACTGTCTCAGTCAATAGTTCACATCAGCTGAAAAGTGCAAAAGCACTCCAGTATGCAACCCTACGGCCGCCTCTCATATCCAGGCTAGTGCTACAGACAAAAATAAAGAGGGAACTTACGCATGGGCTAAAATTTGAAGACACAGAGGCAAGCAACCTCAGAACTTGCATCTGGCTTTGCACCCCTAAGCAAAATAGCCAACAGTTATGATATACCTTAAACGGGATTCTTCCTTCCCTTTCTTATCTGTTAATTGATTTTATCCCACTGATGTTATAGACATTACAGGTGGAGGCTACAGTCACTAATGCAATAAATTTTACCTTTGTCAAGAAACACAAATCTGTATTACCCTAGTGATAAACACTTTAACTGCATGTAAGTGAAGTATTCAAAACATGACTGCCACGTCATACATATTTGTCACCCTAGGTACTTCTTTAAGACTTACGGTATAATTAAATTTAGAATAATTTTAAGCTTCTATTCATGAAAAAGCAATTTGAAAAATTCACTGATCCACACATTAAGGACATCTTGTTTTGCACTGCAATGCAATTAAACATCTTGTATGGGCAAAACATAATTGTAAGTGCCAAACTACATTGAAAAAAGCCTGAATTTTCATTTTGGATTTTTCCCAGCAGCTTTTTCTTAAGGAAATAAAAGGGAACATTTAGAAACATGCACAATACAGAGTCTGCTTGAAATTCTGTGGGGAAATGAGAGTTTGATATCCCACTAAACTGGCACTGGCTCAAATTGTGTTTCTGCAAGACTAATGAAATGAGAGACGTTGTTTCAAGCTTTGTGCCATGTCAGACAATATAAAACTAAAAATGCCCTTGAGTTAATCAGAACAGTCTATTCAGCATAATTCACCCATTCCAAAAGGCTACTGAACGGACTGGAAATAGTGGTGTGCTGGTAGGCTTGCTATGGATAATATCACAGATTTAATTGCTAAATTAGTAGGTAACTACATAAAATCTCCATAGCCTACAAGAAAAAAAAAGTTGATTTAGCCCAAATCATATGTTTTTATTATTTTTCTAACATACAATTTGTTAAGTGTTTCTTCAATGTTTAGTAGGAATTTAGATGAAGGAAACCATTAACAATATCTTCTTGTCATACTAGAATAGAATTTACAAAGTTACCTGCTACATACTATAAATTGAATACACTGCAGGACACAGATGGGAGGCAAAGATGTATCTTGCATGGAAGAATATTGATATACTTGCTACTTTCTGCATGCCATACCTTATACTATTGATTCTATTTCAAAACATAAATCTGATGTGAATAAAAAATTATTTTTGTTTAACTGCAGAAGCTACCATATCATGGTATGAGGGGATCCTTAACTTCAGCAAGAGTTGAACATAAAGATCTCTTCTGTTAATCATGGGCTTTTTTCTCTTTGAGTATTTCAGGTCTCAGAGGTCATTAATTCCATTGCACAAGTATATTGAATTGATGTTGGCCATGTCCATCAAGTTTCCTGTAGTGACACTTACCAGGCATTCTCCTGTGATATCATCACACAACTCTGCATGGCCAAAGCATGTACATGGTGCACAGACTCCGCCAAAAATTGTGCCATTCACACGCCTGTGTTGAGGCCAGCAAGACTGCAAGATAAATTAGATAAAAAGTTAAATTCTCACTTGAACAGAGAAAGGAATGGGATTTTTAAAATATATTTGATTTTGATGTTTGCACACACAAAAACATACTTGTCAAATTAATAAAAGTACCAACATTTCTCTAGAAAGTTGTTCTTCCTGGTGCTACTGCTTTGCACTGACCTTAGCCTTATTGGCAGGTGTGAGATTAGAGGAAGCCTTAACTTGATCATTCTTCTGAAATGGTAAAATAAAGCAGAGAAATGAAGAACTGAAATATGACAGCATCAAAGCAAGAGGTACAGATTGAAAAATAGCCAGAAGGCAAAATACTGAAATAGAGAGGAGGAGGGAAGAAAACTCCAAAACAACAAAAACCTTTTCTGAGAAGTTCAGCTGCAAAGAGCAATTGAAATACCATTTAGTCTTTCTTGTTTGGAGTCTAACAAAAGGCTACACTGAAATAAAGCACAGGCTGAAAACAAAGCCATCCTTTTGTTTACAAATTGCGCTTTTTAAATATAAAGTACAGTCATTTCCCTTTAAGAAAGTGCTCTGATTTTTTATTTTTTTAAATGTTAAATTCAGATCAATATTAAATGCATGGCCAGTTTTTTCTTAGGAAAGGTGACATCGTACAACAGTGATTCATCAGCGAAAATTCAGCTATTCCATTTCTTCATAATAAGATGTCAAGCAGCAGTCTTCCTTACTATATATCTCACAAATGGCTTTATAGTTTTTGCAAACTATCCTTCCTCAATAAGACTGCTCATGTGATCCAAGGTTTTTGCATAATATAAAAAAGTGCATGACAGAGCGTTGACCTTGAAAACCACTTGGCTAATACAAAGTTTTGTAGTGATAGAATACTAAAAGTATCATTTAATAAAGAAAATCCCTTCCTCTTCACATACAGTCTCAAAAAACTTAACAAGAAGATTCTCCTTTATAAAAATAAGATGATGTCCCTTTTTGTCTTACTCCTGTGAAAAATGAAAGTAATTTGAAGATGAATTGAAATGATTCTTTTAAAAAAGCATTTCAAAACCTGAGACATTATCCTTATTTTTCTCTCTTTTCATTCTTGGTTTCACATTCCTAACAAAATCTATAAATACTATAAATTAAAATTAGAGTACAAAAGAGAGTAAATCAAAATAAGAGTTACAAAATCCAAAAAAGAAGAACAGGTTAAAAGAAATTGCCCTATTTTTTTTCTGTGGCATGAGATGCAACTGCCTAAGCTGTTTCTGTATAGATCTATAAATCCTCTTTTGGTGATTCTGAAAAGAATGATCTCGTGCACAGATATACATGACATTGCACAAGGTAAGTCTCCAAAAGTCACTAATTCTAAGGGCTTAGACATGGAATATCAACAGCAAGGCTTAGAACAGAACTAAAATAAAAGATTGCAGATTGGGATCTTAACAAAAGAAATAATATAACGTTCAAAAGTCAGGTAAGTTCTTGACTCTCATAGTGATGCAAGTTAACCACAACTTCTTTCACAGTGGAAATAAGAGTAGATAGAAAGGGAAATCTCATGGAGAAGAGCAGTTAGAAGTGAAGATGTTTACAAATAAAGGCCAGAAGATTCACATGAGTAGAGCAAAGTAACTATCACATATGAGTCCAACTGGTATTTGAAATTGTCCTGGTTTTGATTGGGATAGAGCTAATTTTCTTCATAGTAGCTAGTATGGGGCTATGTTTTGGATCTGTGCTGAAAACAGTGTTGATAACACTGGGATGTTTTTGTTGTTGTTGAGTAGTGCTTACACACAGTCAAGGCCTTTTCTGCCTCTCACACCGCCCCACCAGCGAGTAGGCTGGGGGTGCACAAGGAGTTGGGAGGGGACACAGCTGGGACAGCTGACCCCAGCTGATCAAAGGGATATTCCATGCCATATGACGTCATGCTCAGCACATAAAGCTGAGGGAAGAAGAAGGAAGGGGGGGGACATTCAAAGTGATGGCGTTTGTCTTCGCAATTAACTCTTATGCATGATGGGCCCTCCTTTCCTGGAGATGGCTGAACACCTGCCTGCTGATGGGAAGGAGTGAATGAATTCCTTGTTTTGCTTTGCTTGTTCGCGTGGCTTCAGCTTTACCCATTAAACTGTCTTTATCTCACCCCACAAGTTTTCTTGCTGTTACTCTTCCAGTTCTCTCCCCCATCCCACTGGGGAGGACTGAGCAAGTAGCTGTGTGGTGCTTAGTTGCTGGCTGGGGTTAAACCACGACAGAAATTTAAAATTTTATCTGCTTTACCTATGCTCATGCAATTCTGTGTTAATTTCTCAGATATACTAGCAAAACCAGAACAATTTTCTTTGACTAGAATCTTGTAGAAAATGAATTTAAAATTTGTGTAATGGAACAATCTCACAAGAGACAGCACATTTTAAATGGGATTGGTTGTCCTCTGAAGACTGATCATGCCGAAACATTCACAGCAAGAAAATAAGTCTGTGCCAGGTACCACAACATCATTATGCAGGAAACAAACACATACATTAAATTAAATGAAGAAGAGAAAATGAAACTGAAAACCTGCACAAAACCAATAAAAATGAAACTCTGCTAGGTTGAAACTAGAAGCAGCAAAGTGTTGGACAAGGCCAAAAGTATTCAGAAGAAACAAATACAGTTTTCTAAAAAAATCCACATTTTCAATTTATTTTTCCATACTTTCTCAACTGCTAGTTTGCCTGGAAATCTAAAACTTCACTTTCTCTCTTTTTTTCCCTTGCTTGTCTTTGTTATAAAAAGCACAACCATCTACTCAGAACACCAAAATATTTCCCCGTGTTTTCTATCAAGCGTAACTGTTCAATGCATATCATATGTTGAACCTCTGCTACAAAAGACTCATGAGAAATTAATTCAGTGAATAAAGGCATGGAAACTAAAACTTTTAACTGTATCATTGTTACCGTAAGATAGGCCAGCTGTGTCACATGGCATTTCTGAGCTGTCCAAAATGCTCTGAAATTCAGTGAGGAGACATAGGAAAAGTGTGCTCATGCTGAAGTCTATCATATCTTCTTGGCCTTCAGTCTTAGGAGGAAACCCAACATACAGGTAGGGACTGCAATGTGGTTTAGTTCAATAGGTCTGTGGTTAGCACTCAGGCAGGGCAGGAATCAAAGAGTGTCCATGCCCGCTAGTGTGCACAGAGACTTCAAATCTGCAGCTATCTGTATATGTACTTTCTATTGTGAAATATTATCTTAAGTATTTATGAAATTTCAGGGACTGTTTTGAAATGGAGAGAAGGTTTAGCATTGAAGGACACAACATTGTACAGAGAATTTCAGCAACACCAAGGCAGTAATTCTACCCAAGTTCTTCAGGTTCTACAACAAAAGCAGGTATTGAAACATCTGCAATCAGGGCCTTTCCAACTGCTTGCTGGGAAAACTCACCTAAATCTGAATTAAGAGGAAAAATGGACAAGTGAAAAAAAAAGTGTGAAGCACAATGACACTTTGTCCAGCTTTTTTCTTCAAATAATTGAAGACAAACAGACAGACAATGGCCATACTTCAGAATTATTTCTCAGCCAAGGTAGGCAATACTCTTCTCCATTTTTTTTTTTCTGTCTGTACCATTTTGGAAGTGTTAGAACTATCCATTAATTCCTTCAGGCCTTCCTTCTACATTAGTTTATCTAGCCCCAGCAACAAGCAACCACATTTGGCATTAAACTAGACTCTGAGCCCTAAATATCACATATAAGCATGGAGGATTTTAAAGAAAAAGAGAGCTGACAAGCAAATGCCTAGAGTGCCTGTGTAAATGGCATACTGTTTGTAGTGTTGTGAAGCAGAGCATCTTGGTGTTTGAAATTATTTCCTTAAAGGCAAAGCTTTTGAAGATTTTTTTTTCTTGATTCTATTTACCCCAAGCTATGCCCACGTGAGCTAGTTAATCATATGTATACTTGTATGAACACATTCTGTGTGAATTAATGAATTTGTTATGAAAGCGGGTATTTTCTGAGCATGTGTATAGGTTATTATCTATAACAAGACCAAACTAAAGTGAAACAATCCTCACAAGAACACACACGCAGTCCTCAAAGACTCCAAGACAAATGGCAAAGCCCTGGGAAAACAAAAGAGGAAACTCAACCATATTACTCACATAATTTGATCTGGCTTTGTTGTGCACAGGACAGATAACTGCCATTTTCCTTCTAATCGCGATAGTTTCATGCATTTGTAACATCAATTGGCTGAAGAGCACAAATACTGCTTTCATTTTCTTTTTGTTAAGAGAAATGTCTTTTCATAACTTAGATGTTACCACAGAGGTGTAAACCTTCAGATTTCAAATATTATCAAATATAATGAACCACCACCTGGAAATAAAGGTAACTAGACAAGGTACACTGAATTCCTAACAGGAATGGACAGCTCTCTTGTATTTTCTACCAACACAGGGCCACTTGTTGCTTACAACTATCACAGTGTTAGCACAACTGATCTAGACTGCATGGCGATACTCACCTCACACGAGGTACCATCATACCCCGGGGGACAGTCACATAACTCCACTGCAGATGCCACCCTTCTCCCAGTTGAAGTGTGGTCAGCAGCTTCAATGCTAACGCTTCTTAGTCTGGATGTAACAGAAATGAAACAGTTAATGTAGCAAATCAGATGGAAGCATACATGCAGCTGGATGCAACAAACAGTATACAGTGACATTCAGTGGCTTGTTTATGTTTTCTTGTTTAAAAATAAGGAGGTTTTCATATTCATCTATTTCTTCCTAAACTACATGTCTGTAGGCTTGTTACTACTTTTGTCCTTCATGTGAGTGAGACTATGGTCAGGCACACGTTGATAAAAATAGATTTAAAAAGTCTCACAGCACTGTATCAGTAGATGGAAGGCTATTCCTGCCCTACAAGCCACAAGTGCCAACTTGCATTGCAGCTGTATATATAGCAAATTAGTCACTAAGCAGTGTCTTCAAAATTTATAAACCACTACTCCAGCTTTCTAAAACATTACATTACTAAGTTTTGGTTATAGGGCATTTTTATTCTGGAGTTTTGACCTCTGAAAAAGATTTCAGCTCTGTCCAGGAGGATCTAAGTATTATGTACATAAAAAAAAGGTATGTACATGAAAGAAAAAGGAAATCTTCTACCATATACCTTAGTTTCTCCAATGACAGAGAAGACAGAGTTGGAGAATTTTCTGTTCCATGCACAATTGCCCTCAAAAAAGAAATGCTAGACATTGGCCAAACAGCCATTGTTTAGCCAAACACTGAACACAATTTTTATTTAAAAAACCATGGAAATTTGATCAGAGAGAGAACAAAAGTCTTTTGATAATCTTACAGGTAACATGCAAAACAGATGTAGTTTACCTCAACAGTATCCATTTGGGGAAAGAAATTGTGATATAGGGATTTAATTCTTATGAGAATTCATAAAGAACATTAAGGCATTATAGAGGCTCAATGACTTCTCTTTTCACCCAGCAATCTTAACAGAGTGTTTGATTACTAGAGCTACCTGAAAAGCTTCTGCTGAAGTCTTTTTCAGCAGAAAATATCTTTCTATTATGACATGCATTTTGTTAAAAAATAATCAATTTTATTTGGAAAATGTAAACCAAACTTTTTTTCCTCCATACTAAGGCATTTATCTTTTGGCTGCCAAAAAATCCTGACAATTATTTGGATGACCTTGGATAAGAAAACATCCAAGAAAAATATTTTGTTGTTACTGCAGTGGTCGGAGGAAAGGTTAAGGCAGGATATTTTCCCACTCAATTTTATGACCACTCTCAATAAGACAGACATGAAAGGTAAGGGGAAAAAAAGGAAGATTTCTGAAATTAGAAGGGGAGCTTCAGAAAACCAGAAATTTTACCATCACTGCAGATATAACTGGTGTTTGGAGGGACTACCATTGCGGATTATGCACTTAGAAACTTCAATCTAATTTGGTGATACTAGAACGTCTGTAAAAGATTCTTGAAACTATTTTAAGAGAAGGATGCATGTTCCTATCCAGATGTTCAGTAAGATCTCTCTCACTTTTCAATATTTCCCCTTCGCTTCATCGCTGCATGCTTATCTTGCAATCATGCTTTTGAGTTCTCCTTACAATAAGGTAACCAATCTCTAGGATATTAGTTATCAAATGGTGATGACTTCAACAGTAAAAAATCTAACAATTTAAGGAGAAAAATCTGTAAATGAAGAAACAAACTACTAGTAAAAGGCCAAGTTTTATTTATCCTTTGAACTACAGCTAGTTCCCTCTCAGCACAGATCTTGGAACAAAGAGAAGCACTTACACACAGAAACAATCTGCCCAGTATTATCCCACATTTGTATTCACTGAATTGTTCCAATTTTCATTACGTTCTGCTATTTGCTAAATGGGATTTTAATGTGTTTAACAGTTTTTAGCATTAACAGTTACTCAGTGAAGAAAGCTGCAGTGACTTTTTTTTCTCCCATTTTGATGTTGCAATTTTGATTCCTCGATGCCATTCTGCATTCATTAAAATACATAATGCTGGCAGTAATGGGGCACTGGATCCTGGAGATGCATGAATAATTTGAGATTCGACATCGAGACCAAATATTTAAGCTGACTGTTACTGTCAGCAGGCAACTGTTGACTTCTAAAAACAAACAAGATTAAAAGGGAAGGGGACATTTCAGGCAGTATCAGCATAGTTTACTGTCTGCTATGCCAGGCATCTGAATCACATCAGCTACATAAGACATAGGAAGTACTGACCTGTTCATTGCTCATTTGTCTTAAAGCCAATTCTGCATATGGAGGAAAACCCTTGGCCTTTCCTTCCCTCTTTCTCCTTGTGTCTAGCACCGATTCTGTATGTGGTTGCAAGCAATCCTTTATCTTTAGCACCATGATTTCCAATGCCCATCTGAGTGTCTACAACATTTACCATCAGTGGCCACTCTGAACATTAAAACTGAAGAAACAATGCTACTAAACTTTCTTTGAAGCACAAGGTAACAATATTAGATTAAACAGAATGATAAAAGAAAGCTGTCTTTTCCTGGCCTGTTGCTTCTACCACAGACGGACATAACTGCAACAGTTTGGAAGATCTGTCAAGTTAGAGCAGGATTGCGATTTAAACCCAGAAGCTGTAATCACTTTCAAATTGATTGCTGCATTTCTGTGTTCTCATTTTTTATTCTACTTATCTGAATGAAAGTGCACTCATTTGAGGAAACTTCCTAATTATATATTTTTTTTTTCTATATAT